GTACACTGGTACAGATAGGAACTGGAAACACAAGGAATCCAGGACAGATGAACCCTTCAGGACCAGTGCTGAGAGTGGTGATACTGGGAAGGTAGAGAGGTGAGGGAGAAAGGGGGAACTGATTACAAGGACCACACATAACCCCCTCCCTGGGGAACGGACAACAGAAAAGTGGGTGAAGGGAGAAGTCGGACAGTGTAAGATATGACAAAATAATAATTTATAAATTATCAAAGATTCATGAGGAAGGGGGCCGGGAAGGGAGGGGGAAAATGAGGAGCTGATACCAAGGGCTCAAGTAGAAAGCGAATGTTTTGAGAATGATGAGGGCAATAAATGTACAAATGTGCTTGAAAAAATAAAAAAGATGTATTGTATGATGAGGGCAACAAATGTACAAATGTGTTTGACAAAATGTATGTATGTATGGATTGTGATGAGTTGTATGAGCTTCCAATAAAATGATTTTTTTAAAAATAAATGGTATGGAATAAAGCTGGTAAGTGCATTGCCCAAATCAATGTCATTTTTAATAACTTATGCCTAGGTCAACACAAAATTGTGTTGTCTTCTGCCTCAGCACAAGATGGGGATGAGTCATTAAGGAAGTGTTGTCCTCTGTAAATGGCTAACTACCCATCATACCCAGTGTGGCCTCTAAACACCTGTTCAAGCATACTGCTCTAGAATTTTCTTCAGGGTTATTAATGGAATCACTCTTAACAACGTAGGCGTGTGATCATTATAACGATTCTTAAAAACGACTGTCCGTTTGCAGAGAGGCACCACAGCAAGTTTCAGTGCAAATGTTGGACCCAATGGCGATACACGGTGTCATGACAACTGTGAACGTGTTGTGCAACAACGGCTGTGCTGGCATACAGGTCGCGTCGCAGAATGGATGTCAGATGTCACGAGGTTAAAATCCAACTTATCACTTGATTTCCCTTTTGATCCATTTTGAGTCTGCTCTAGTTTTAAATATTTTGTTTTCTTTCCAACTGGGGCTTTTCTCTGTTGTATTGGTATTGTAGGTAGCCTGCTTGACGCTCTGTTACATACTTTTCTGGTTTCCGGTCTTAGGAATCTCAGGAAATCTAGAGGCCATAACTGGATTGGGGGTTCCTGGTGGGTAAAGCAAGGGAGGGCGGGGCTACCTGGGGAGCTAACAAACAAGGTGTAAGAAAATGTTCCAAAACTGACTGTCGTAGTGATTGTACACACTTCTTGATATGACTGAATGATTGAATTGTATGGTCTGGATTGTGTCCTAAGGAAATTACACACATACACACACGCATCTGGAATATACAAGTACTTTTTTTCCATCTTCTAACCCACACAAGCTTTGTCTCAGAACTTAAGGACTTTTGTAACATTGCTTTATTTTAGAAAAGTGTAGTTTAATAACTTTCAGAATGGCCCATGTAGACTACTCTATCATATATATGTGTATATCTATATTTATAAATGGAGCGAGAGAGAGAACAACAAAGCACTAAACCCCAGAGCTGCAGCACTAGTCGGTCCAAGGTCACACAGTGCATCGAAGCCCGATAATGGCTGCCTTGGTTCAAAATCGTAAGAGATTCCCAGAAAGCTTAAAAATCTGCTATGACCTCCACAGGGCCAGTAAAGGAAGGGTCTTCCTCGGGCCTTTTTGGACAGCAGGGTGTATGGCTTACAATTTAGGGTAACATGTGTTTCGTTCTAATTCCATGCTATAATTTCTATATACTTTTTGTCTCTACACCCAGCGTGTGTTGTCTATGGGCTCTATGTAATGGTAATGGGTTTCATCGTCAAAAGAGTTGGGGCGCACTGCACATTGTATCTCTACTGCCAATATTCTTGGTGCATCAGGAAGATATTAGGACAGTCCCACAGCAGAGAAACACCTTGCAATTCAACCCCGTGGTCCCAAACCTTATCTGGTCAGGAGTCGCCTTTCCCCTTTCAGCACCCTCTCAATGATTCTGTGACCAATCATATTTTAGCAGAACACCCTTTTCGGGAAAGGTTGATCAAGGATATATTCCTTCAGCACTGTAATTTTAGAAATGAAGTACTAAACAGCATAAAAGATGTCTAGAATACAGCTAGTGAAAGTAAAAATTTTTATTTCGACTGATTTCTCAATGTATAATACGTTCAACATACCACTTTTTAATGGCAGCAAAAATTTGGTTCCACGGAAATTCTGTAATGCTACCAGAGAGCAACTACTTTTTCCAGAAAATGAATGGCTGGAAAGAGAAAGCACAGCTATCCTGCAGCCTGGCAACTGAGCCTGCAGGCCTGACACCAGGTCTGCCAGGGCACACGACGTGGCTGGTGACCAAGCGAGAAGGGGAACAACGGGCGAGCACTAAACGGCGGCGCACTATGTGTACTGTAAGACAAAGGAGAAACTAGATCTAGCTGCAAGGACTTGAAAGGGTAATGACAGAAAAGGGAACCAAACATTTTACTCAAATGCTTTTTAGAGCCTTTCTGTAGTAGAGATACAAATATATATATATATATACTTATCCAAAAATATGTTTTTATATAGATAAATGTTCTTCAATTAAAGATGGGACCAAAGCTATAGTTATAACATAAAGCACTGTCTTTCATATATTTTTTCCACCTGAATTTTAAATTTCTTTAAGGTTAGTACATTAAATATTTTCTACATATAATTCCTTGACATTCTTTTTGTAGCTGTAAATCAAGTAGGCATTAATATCAAAATGGTTTTGCAGGTTAAACAACATTTTTCTAAGATGTTGTGCATATCGAATTTATGCCAAGCCCCACTAAGGATCTTTATTAATATACATGACCAAAAGGGCTATGTTTAAGTCGGAATTCCCTATTGACAGTAAATGATTTTCTGATTTCCAGTTTATAAGTGTTTAAAATATACAGGAAAAATTTGACTTCCTCGGGAGTACTTTTATGTTACTATAGCTTGAGTCAGTATAGACGGCACCACATGTCCACGTGTTGTAACCATTAGTATATACCTTCTGTTAGAACAAAGGAAAAAGGTTGGGGCCATAACACTAACAACCACTACCTATAAAATAAAGCACATAATTATTTTGGTGATTTTACAAAACTTTTTTCTCCAGGTGCAAATGCTACAAAAATTTCTAAAAATTAGAGAACATTGAAAACATACTAAAGCCTGACTTCCAACATTAAAGTTCCATTTCACCCTGAAAGAAAACTTAAAAAACATGACCTAGCTGGAACAGGCCACCTTGCTAATATAAAAAATTGATGAGAGCAAGAAATTACATCACTGATGTGGAATTCTTGTAAATAGTTATCTCTCCAAATCATCAGGAAAATGTTCAAAGATTTCAAAAAAGAAGACAGAGAAGTGGTCCCTAAGCTATTCTGGAGGCGGGTAGCTTACCCTAAGCTAAAACATCTTATGTGCATTCATTGCCATCACCCTCCCTTCAAATGCCCTTTGAAGAATGCATGAAAAAGTACAACGGCAAGAATCGGAGAGCACAAACTGTATTTTCAAGAACAGAAAAGTTTCTAGAGCTGAAAGAATAGCAAAAAGCAGATTTCTTTGGGGATGTTAATCAACTGGATTGCAACTCATTATGAAGATTTATCTTTTCTATTACGGGGAGAGTCTGCTCCATTTGAAGTTACTGTTCCGTTGACACCATTTTCTGGAAAGAGAAAAGAATCAGTGTTACTCTATTTTATAAATACATGTAAAATATTATGATATCTATATGTAAATGTGCCTCAGAAAACATCACACCCACTACATATTCTTAGGTATGTTCCAAGCAAGAGCCACAGAAAGCTACAAAGAAAATACAGAGCTAAGAAGAAAAGTGAAAGTCTCATGTTGCTGAGGAGTCAAAAATTTGAATTTACAACCAGCCAAGCCAGAAGGCCCCTGAGTCTGACATCAGTCCTCGGACGGAGGGAAAACAGAAAGCAGAGCGGTTTTACGTAGGCAGAGCGGTCACATTCAATCTGCTGGCCGTGAAAGGTCATCCAGCATCTCTAAAATTTTGTAAACACAATGCTCAGCAGTCAATGAAATAGTAGGCGTGCCATATAATAAAACCAAAGGAGAGTTGTCAGATGACGTGGATCTGGAGCTATCAGAGAGGAACGTATCGGATAATCTCATTAGAGAAATAAAATCTTCTATGCTAGAACTAAAAACTATAGCACGTGACCAAGAATATATACTTAATGCATGAGTTTAACAGCAGACTCGGCACAAAGTGCAGAAACATTCAGAGTGAAGTACAAAAGGATAGGAAATACAGACAAGCTAGAACAGTAAAAGGGCTTAGCACATGTGTAAATGGCAGCACAGGAAAGAGAGAGAACGGAGGCAGACACCATATACGAAGGAACATTAGCCAAGAATTTACCAAAACCGATAAACCAAGCCACAAACTCAACAAGTTCCACACCACACAAAATAGGATAAATTCAAAGGAAATCATTTTAGGCACATAGTAGTATAACTGCCCCATGCCCCAATGAACACACACACACACACACACACACACACACACACGAGATGGACTGCTAACTTTAAGGTGGGTGGTTCAAAACCATGAGCTGTTCTGCAGGAGAAAGAGAAAAGCTACCTGTTCCCATAAAAATTTAGTCTTGGAAATCCTAAATTTCGACTATGAGTAAGGATTTACTCAATGACAGTGGGTTTGGTTTTTAGGTCTATATAAATAAATGTGATGAAGAGAAGTATGAAGTAAAAAGGTATGCTAAGAACATTTAACCAAAATAAAGCTGAAGCCATTACAACAAATTCAGACAAAATAAAGATATTTCAAAAAGAAAATAGAACAAATTCAATTGAAAGATAGAAAAAAAAATTCTAAGTGTGCTTATGTACTTAACAACATAGCTCAAAGTATGTAAAACAAACCCAAAACTAAAGAAAAACAACTTTACAATTATATTGTGTAAAATTTTAACATACTCCCCAGAGAAACTGACAGAAGAGACAGGTCAATTTTTTCCATCTTTTGTATAAAGAAAGACATGAAAGATGGGAAGACCCTAAATAAACCTGATCTGCCACCCAAAGAAGAAAATGCCCAGTGACTAGCATACATATACTTTGAACTGCAAATGTGGACAGATGCTGAGCAGTAATCAAAGTATCAAAAAAGATCCAAAGAACTGAAAATATTGAGGATATTCTTTAATCACAGTGTAAGTAAGCTAGAAATCAATAAAAATAAAAATCTTCAAATGTAAAAGTCAGCAATGTACAACACATGGGGTCAAAGAAGAAATCATAATGAAGTATTTTTAAATGAATGACAGTGGAAAGATATTAAGCCTTGTGACATACAATTAAAGCTGTGCTGAAAGAAAAAAATAAAGCTTTAATTGCATGTAATTCACCAGAAGAACGGGGGAAAATTATGGATCTATAGATCCTTCTCAGGTATAAGGCATCATCAGAACAAAAAATATTACCATAGTGAATGATGGGGGGAGTGCGGAGTGGAGATCCAAAGCCTATTTGTAGGCCACTGGAGATCCCCTTGCAGAGGGGTCTCGGGGAGGAGACAAGCCAATCAAGGTGCGATGTAACAACAATGAAAAATACAACTTTCCTCTAGTTCAAATGCTTCCTCCCCGCCCCCACTATCATGAAACGAATTCTACCTTGCAAGTCTGGCTAGACCAGAGGATGTACACTGGTACAGATAGGAACTGGAAACACAGGGAGTCCAGGACAGATGATCCCTTCAGGACTAGTGGGGTGAATGGTGATACTGGGAGGGTAGAGGGAGAGTGGGTTGGAAAGAGGGAACCGATTACAAGGAACTATATGAGACCTCCTCCCTGGGGGACGGACAACAGAAAAGTGTGTGAAGGGAGACGTCGGACAGGGCAAGATATGACAAAATAATAATTTATAAACTATCAAGGGCTCATGAGGGAGGGGAGAGCAGGGAGGGAGGGGAAAAATGAGGACCTAATGCCCGGGGCTTAGGTGGAGAGGAAATGTTTTGAGAATGATGAGGGCAATGAATGTACAAATGCGCTTTACACAATTGATGTATGTATGGATTGTGATAAGAGTTGTATGAGCCCCTAATAAAACGATTAAAAAAAAAGAAATCCTTCTCAAGGAGATAAGCAGCCACCAAGAAAACAGTAAATTAAACCAAGAGAAAGTATGATTCAGAAAACATTGAGGAGAGGAACAACAACAACAAAATGTCAAGCGCTGCTCTGGATTGATCTGACAGAAAAGGCACAAATTATCTAAAAAATGAAAAAACAAACCATTTTTATCTATCAGCATTAGTAACATAACAAGAGGATATTTTGGATAATTTTACATCAAATACATTTGCAAATTTAGATAAAGTGGAATGTTTCTTGAAAATCACAATTTATCAAAACAGAAAGTGTCAGAAATGGGAAACCACAACAATCCCATTCAGTATTCAACAGCGTGCATCTGTAGATAAAATCCTCCCATACAAAAGGTGACCTCATTCAAACATGTAAATGAGTCTCAACAGACACACCGCACAGATCTGTCCTACGCACTTTCAAGAAGCCAATCTAACCTCCATATCCACACTTGAAACTAAAATTTAAAAGCTTTTTAAAAAGGCAGTTTAGAGTAAGCGCCCCCAATAAAAGTATTTAATTTAAAAAAAAAAGGCAGTTTAGCTCCATCTTTTGCATGAAGAGAAATGCAAGCCTTTAACAAGACATTGAAAAATCCCATCCCCACAAACTTGAGTTTACTCTAAGGATGACAGATTGGTTTTACATTTGAAGAATCAATATAATTAAGATAATAAAGAAATACTGTATGATTATCTAAAGAGCTCCAGAAAAGCATTTACTTGGGAATGGGGGGTATAATACCCCAAACATAAAAACATTGGCAAGTGAAGCATCAGAGAGAACTTCTAGAATAGAATCAATGGGTACCTAAACAATTCTCCAGTGAAATATTGCAAACTTAGCTCCTTCTATACCAAACAAGAGAAGGAGGTCTGTTCTCCTAGTTTCTACTCAGTATTATGCTATGGGCCTAGCCAGCACAACAGGTACAAAAACGAAAACACATCGTATTTGCAGATGACAGAATTGTAAATTTTAGTGTAAACTATTAAAATAAATGAATCAGGAATGTTTCTCAATCCAAGGCTAGTACTAAAAATATGAATGATATTTACATATAACAATTAAAATCTAAGTTTAAAACATTACCATGTATTATACTAAAACATAAAACACACGAGAAGTATATTAAAAAGTTTGAAATAATGATGGCAATATATGTACAAATATGCTTGATACAAATGATGTATGGATTCTTGTAAGTGCTGTAAGAGGCCCCAATAAATGATCTTTAAAAAAAAAATGTTTGAGATTGCTACAGAAAAACCTATAAACTATTTAAAAAATATTATTGTCACAACTCTTTCAAAAAATTAACAAAGAAAACATTTGTCAAGTCATCCTGAGGTATTATTATACATATAGGCATTATAAACATAGAGAAAAACAAACCCACTGCTATTGAGCTAATTCTAACTCACAGTGATCATACACACATATACAAACACTTTCCTCGTCATCCTATGAAATACGTTACGATACCAAAACCAGTCAGATACTACATATTCCAAAAACATATACAAATGCTAATGATTAGATATCTAAGAATAAAAATACCCAAAACACTAACATACCAAAGCCAGCACTATTGATTTCAGCACCATGACTAAATGTGACTTGCTCCAGGAATGCATGGTTGGTTTAACATCGAACATCAACGTAATTCACTGTTATCAACAAAGAAAAGAACAAAACCACACAATCCTCTAAAAAGACACAGAAACAGGTATTTGAGAAAGTCCAATACCTTCATTTCATGATAAAAAGATAAAACACATTAGGGAACTTCCTCAACATAAAGACATCTATGTGAAACCCGTATTTAATGGTGAAAGACTGAGTGCTGTTTCCTCTACGATTAAAAAAGAAATGAATGTTTTCTTTATGCACTTTTTATTCAACACTGTGAGGTGCCCAGTGGCACAGTGGTGAAGTACTTGGCACTGTAAAACTGGCGACTTGAAAAAACCCAGGGGCTCCACCAGAAAAAGACCTGGCAATCTTGTATAAATATCTGCAAAGTCATAGCCCGGAAAACCCTGTAAGGCAGCTCTACTTTGTCGCACAGGAACTAGGAGTGAGCAGTCCCTAAAACAACACACTAAGGATGGCTCTCAAGCAAAGACCCAAACTCACTGCCCTCGAGTTGATTCTGACTGAAAGGGACCCTACACGACAGAGCAGAACTGCCCCTATGGGTTTCTGAGACTACATCTTTATGTGATGAGAAAACCTCGTGTCTATCCTGCAGAGCGACTGTTGGTTTTGAACAGCTAACCTTGCAGTTCAACAGCCCAACATGAGATCCACTACGCCACCAGAGATCCTTACTGGGCATTCTAGCCAGGGTATATAGACTGAATCATCTCTATCAAAATTATGTTGTAAATCCTAACCCTATGCCAGTGGTTATAAGTCTGTTGGAGAACCGGTTGTCTTTGATATCAAGAATCATTAGGGCAAGCAAGAAAGCAGAGACAGGGAAAGAGAGATGCATGTACAAGGGTGCAGAAGACACATGAAAACTGCTCAGGGATAGAAGTTCAGAGACAAGGACCCTCCCCCAGACCTGACAGAAAGCCTTCCCCTAAAGTCAACACCCTGAATTTGGACATCTCCCTTCCGAAACTGTGAGAAACCACATTTGTTTGCTCAAGGCAGCCCCACTTGTGGGTACTTGCTAGAGCCGCTCCAGGGAACTGTGAACATGAGTTAGGGAGAAGAGCGGAAAAGACAGCCTCCAGACTGAAAGAGAGTAAACCACCTGTACTTGCATATGCTACGATCTTACAGAATGAAGCTCTGAACAAGTCACTGGAAGCTGGAAGAACTAAAACACGGGCTCAGCAAACACTGCCTCTGTCAGTTTGGGAACAATGATGTACTTCATGGTAATATTAAAAATATAAAACAAACAGGGAACAATGTTGTAATACTCCAGAGATGCACAATATAGAAGATTGGAATAATGCTGCCTCTGTTGTATGGGATACTTTTTATACAGTGTATCTCAGTCATGTCAGCATTTATCAGGACTTTCAGGACAGATGTATTATTATAGGTTCTAAAGTACTGTACCATTACACATCTGGCAGTGCAATCACTTTCTATACAAGATGGGCTACATCTGTTGCATGCAGAGCGCGAGTACATTCACTATGTCCTGTTCTCCATTTGGGAGTTTTAACTCCCTTCCAGTCTCAGACTGTATGTGGTTGGACAATGCCTGATTGGGTGTTCCGCAGCATGTGACTGTATAGAAAATGACCCCAAGGTTAAAGGCTGTCAGACGCTAGGAAAACAAGAGTGGGGAGTGACTGCTAATGGGTATATTGACTTCTATTGTGGTTATGAAAATGTTCTGAAAATTAAATAGCGGTGGTTATACCACTTTGAAATTATACTAAAAACCACTAAAGTTTACTTTATAAAACGGTGAACCTTAACTGTAAATAAGAGCCCAGTAAAGCTGCCATTAAAAAAAACTAGAGAAATTAAAGATTTCTAAATGAATGGAAGCATACACCCTGTTCATAGACTGAGATCGTCAATGCTCCCTAAAATTATCTTTACAGTTAACTTAATTTCACGTAAAAATCCTGTTAACGTTATCTGGTGATAGAAATTGAACATAGTTGGCAAAATTTATATGAAAATGTAAAGGGCCAAGATGGCGAAAGCAAATTTGAAAATCACGAAGGCTGGAGAACATAAACTATCAGAGATTAAGATGTAACAAGAAAATAAGAAACTATTAAATTTAAAAATTCACTCTAATTATTCACGAAAATCCCTCTCCACACGTATGCACACACACGCACGCACGCACGCACAGAGAGGCTCAAGATAACTAAGCATAGAAAGAAAAACTGGGAGAGAAACGGAGTGGACTCTCCCAACAGGAACATGGGATAAGGTTACTTTGGCTTGGATTTTGCTGCAAGTCGGAAAGGACAGTCTGTCTGAAATTTAAAAACAAGAGAGACCCCATACTTCTTTAAAAATATGACTACTTCCACAAGTTTTCCAGTGTACTGGATACAAACCTGTTCCTTTTCTAGAGGACCTGCCTTTCGTCACTGCTGGTTTCTTCTTCACAGTTGGTGCCTGTGACGTGGAATGTTCCCTCCACCTCCTAAGCTGGAAATTAATGAACTTCCACATCATGAATGCTTGAGTAACGCAAATGGAGGCCAGGACTGCAATTCTGAGATGTAGAAATAAACAAATTATTAGGTTGCACCCAAACCACGCCACTTAATAAAGCATTCTATTTCTTCCCTATTAAGAATAAACAAATGAACAAAGTATAGGTTTAGCCATAATAAATCTGACAAAATTTTCTTTTTTCCAGCCTTTTTTGGCGCCCTTTTTATTTAGGGACCAATACCTTAACCTCCTTGTTTACATACGGTGGACGATTGACTCAGGCCTCTATTTTAAATCAAATGTTTAGACTGAGGTTTCTCTCTCTTTTTTTAAGACTGAGGTTTCTAAGACAAATCTAAAACATATACTCTCATATACTCTGTTGACCCTTGCACAACACCGTTGGAACTGTGCAGGCCCACTTATATGCAGGGTTTTTTCCTTGCTGCTAGCTACTGTGGTAATCTCAAGTGTTGTGACTGTCTGAGCTTCCCTGGTCCTGCTGGTGCAGCCACCACCTCAGCTCATGTCAACGAGCTCATGAGCATCCCAGGCCCAGCAGCCATGCCCCAGTTCATTTCTGGTACAGAGTAGTGCTTCCGTGGCTTCAGCAGGGACACGGGGGCCATGCATACACTGCTCTGTACCAGAATCACTTCGGGGGTGGGGGTGGGAAGTGGAGAAGAGGAGCTGAGGGGATTGGGAAGCATGCTGTAGTTCTGCTGCTCAGTCACTGTGGGGGTTGAGGTCTTTAAAACCCTTGATAAATGCTAAAAAATACAGAAAAGCTTTCCCTTACAAACAAACAAAAGACAAAAAACCTTATGGGATCACAGACAGTTAGGTGATCAGATATTGCTAGAACAGACATTAAGTGGCATACACATGTATTGACATTAAGTGTTTAAAGAAAAAAGTGTTCTATACCTAACAGCCAATACGTTGAAGTTTCCAGAACTGAAGTCAAACTTCTGGTTCTCTGCTCTTGCAAGGCCAAAGCCAACAGTGAGTACCGAAAGGATCAAAGTCAGAAGTCTTCCCAAAACAAACAGAACTGCCCAAAGAGAAAACCTGTATGAAAAGCATCAAAAGTCATAAAACCACCAAAGGATCCTTATAAAAATTCTATTCTTGCTAGGGAAATGCAGACTAAAATAGTATTTAGAAATGTCCTTCAAAAAAAGGATTTTACAGTCAAATACTTAACTAGTGGTATATATTATATCACACTCCCGACACATCTACTTGTATAACACATATCTAAAGTCTACGGAGTCCAGTAAAGAAACCTATTTCATTTCTTCTTACAGAACTACTGATACATACAGCAATACCTTAAAATGCTGGAAAGAAAGAGAGAAAACCGCTATAAAGAGTAAGTCACTGTTCCCCTTTAAGAGTCCTGGTTTTCCCTCCTTCCCTTGCTGTTTAAGGCTTTTGTGACTTCCTTATATGTGTTAGCTCTCAATTGCTTCCGTCCAATTTGTACATTAAAAATCTTTTAGTATCTTTACTCTAAGGCTATTTAGTCTATATATCAAATTTTCTTCTGAAAGCTCATTCCAGTATTGTTCCTTCTCCAAAGAAAAGCATGTAATATGTAAGGTAAGACAAGTTATAAAAGTCACCCCACAATACAGTAGTTATCTATTTAAGTAGACTCCATTAAAAACAACAAAACACTACTTTTAGCTCTGTGTTTACATCAACAGTTAACACGTTTTATATTCAACAATCAATAGACTCCATTTTAGAGAGAGTACAGTAGTAATCGTGGAATAGTTTTGTTTTGTTTTGGCAATGTAGGCCTTGACTTAAATAGCCGCTAGACAAGAAAGAAGATGGTTGATAACTTACCCTTTCTGATACTTTTCATCACTAAAATAAAACAGGCGAGAAATGTGGAAAAGAAATTCAACAAAATAATGCAGCACCAAGAGAACAAGGCCTAGATGATTCAAGCTGTTGAGAGACAAATTCACAAGGGAAAGATTAATGATCACTAAGGTAACTAGCACACTAACTTTGTAGTGTCTTTCGAGTCCAGCTACACGCCCAAGGAAACGAAACCCCAACTCACTTCAAAAGATAAGCTCCAGCAATGTGAAAGAGGTACAGGCCAATGTAGACAAGCTGGCGGGGAATATCTTCCTGTTAAGGCAGAAACGCACAAAAAGCCACGTGGATTACAACATGCTGACATCAAGAAACTGTTTCTCGTTAAGAGCAGTATGGTGGAGTGGTCAATGTCCTTGTACAAAAATGAAAGGAGAAGATCCCATGTGCTCGCTCGGCTACATGGCTTGAGCAAGTCACTTGGCCTTTACTCTGGCTCTCTCTGTATACATACTACTTAGTTTTGTTTGGATCAAATGAATCCAAAATCTCTTTTGGCATTAAGGTCTACCATTCTTTTTATTTATTTATTTTTCAAGTTGGGATTTAATACACATATCATTCCATATTTCAATTACATCAAGTAGAATTGTACAATTGCTATAACATTCAGTTTCCAAACATTCTTTTTCTACATGGACTCCTCGACTTTGTCTCCCTTTTACACCCTCCCACCACCACTGAATCACCCTCCCCTCCGAACCCCTTATTTTACTTGCTGTTCATCAATCCTGGGTTTCATATGCCAAAAAACAGAAAAGCATATAATATAGCTTCACGAGGGTAACCGCCATTGACATAACACCTCTGAGACACACTCTACTATGAACAAACACAACAATACCAACACAAATTACAAAAAATTTGGAAATCAGGCCAGCCTGCATCATAGGGGGGATCTACTGACAAAGTTTGAGCTGTTCAGGCCAGATTTATGCCTTTCATCTTCTATATTCCCAAGCACTGTTTAGTGACCACTTTTCCTCCCATAAGGTCTACGATTCTTATTATGAGCTCAACTAGGGGTGTCACAGCATCACCTTTCAAAACACGTAAGCTCAAAAGCCACGGCCATGGCATCGATTCAGACTCACGGCGACTCTGAATGACAGAGGAGAACTGCGACTATGGTCTCCAAGGCTGCAGCTCTCCCCTGCTCATCACACTGCAGCTCTCTGTACCACTTGATCTTCTAACTTCTTGTTAGAAGTTTTTCATTTCAAAACTTTCTCAGAAAGTCTTCAGAGATGAAACAAAAAGCCAAGAGACCTATGCTCAACAGTAATAGTTGCCAGTGGTGACTTTAGTGAAGTTTGAATCAATTCAATCCACCTGCATCAATCTATTGGTCTGAACAGTACTATAAAGAGTTCTCTATTTGGTGACTGGGGGGAAAAAATCCTCAAACACAACAAATTGGCAGTGGTGCTTTTAACTAGAAAGAGAAGCATTTTAAAAAATATGCTATCTTAAGATCCTCCCTAATTTTTCAAATGAAAATTTTTCCCTTACAAGAAAGGAAAAAGGGGGAAAGATAGACAAAAAGCTTAGAAGTTCAGCCACAAAGAAACCACTTTCTTCTATAATATTAACTCCAAAAAAGTAGTTCTAGTACATAAATACAATGAGCAATGGATATTGAGGTCCTACTATTGATACAATATAATGTTAGATAACAAATGATTTTAGACAGCATATAACTTTTAACATTTACTTTCAATATTTTGTTTTAAGTCCTTAATAGCTATGGAGTTGTAACTAAGCATACCAGCCTGTGTGATCCAAGACCAAAATCATTCAGTTTGAAGAAGGTTACAGATGACAGTGGATGCCCAAAATCCATTTGCAGGGTTCACGTGTGGATTAAATTTCCAGTAAATGCCCTCTGACCCCATACCCTGGGGATGTGAATAGCCTGCTATCATAGAGCATTGTGAAGTTGATTATGGCAGATGGAGTTGGGTTAAAACATGACACTTTATCATTTGATTTCCCCTTTGGACTCATTTAAAAATTGTTCAAGTTTTTATATTTTCTCCTTTCTTTTTGATCGAGGCTTTCCTCTGTTTTTGTTTAGTCTTGTTGTTTTTTCCTTTTCTGTTGTTCCTTTCTTGATTTTATTTTGTATGATTTCCTGTATATGAAATTCAGGAAAGGTAAAGCTATAAGATGGTAACTGGATTAATAATTACCTACGGGCATGGCAGGGGAAGTTGGAAAGAATAGGGAGCTAACACCGAGTACAGTACTAGAAAGAAGAAAATGTTAAGAAATTGATTGTGATGATTGCACAACTCTTCTTAATATGAACAATTCACTTATATGCCATGTGACTTATCTGTCAAAAAATCTATTTAAGTATATGTAAATTTAATATGAGGCATTGATAAAACTTATCATTCACGATGCTTAGGGAAAACACCGCCCCATCCCCCCAAAAAACAACTCCTTGATTAAACTTCCCTTAAATAAGCTGCCACATTTGAAAGAAGAAAAAAAACACCACAGCCTAGGTAACCCTATGGGGGTAGTTCCATGGGTTTACAGGGTTGCTATGAGTCAGAGTGGACTCATAGTAGATGGGGTGGGCTGGATCATCCCTATCTTACAGTCAGGCAACTGAGACACAGAGCGAATAAGTGACTTAGCCAATGCATTGAAGTTAGTAAAGGCAGAGGTGGGCTTTTGGACCAAAGCAAGCCTGCACTCTGAATTACCAAGCTTCACCATGGCTTTGGCCAGTTCCACCTGGTACACATCCCAGTCCCCTTTTCCACCCCACAGGCCACAGGTGACCTAGAGCAAGTAGTTGAGCTCCCTTTACCTCACTTTCCTGACCTATGAAATCACTAGAGGTGTTGAGAGGTCAAACCCTCAAAGGGCTTCCCTGAGAATTCCGGTGGCCATTGTAGAGTACCTCGCACACAATGGATGCTAGGCTATGTGCCCTTTCTTTTGTGAAAACAAGAACCATTAAGTCGACTTTGCAGTTTTTAAAAAACTTTTTTGTGGAGAACTGGGTGAGATTTATGAAGTAGATTAAGTTTCCCGTTCAACAATCCATACATTTTTTTCATGACCGTCATTGCAATCCCGTCAATACTTCATCACTGAAGTCACTTTTTCCGTGTTTCCTCTATTTTTCCATGTCGCCATCTTTCCTAACTCTTCTAACCTTTGTCCTTAGGTAAATGCTGCCTTTGTGATCTCAAAAGGCTGATTATTCTAAGGTGAGTACCACAGGCTGATTATTCTAAGGTGAGTACCACAGGGTACCATACCTCTTATAAACCAGGCTATTGTGTTCCATTTGTCCTCCTTTTGTACATTTGTTGTCATCTTCATTCCCAAAACATTTTCTTTCTACTTGAGCCGTTGGTATCAGCTCCTTATTTTTTCCCCTCCTTCCTGAACCCTTGATAATTTATAAATTATTATTGTCATGTCTTACACAGTCTGATCTTTTTTTTTTTTTAACCAGCCTTGCCTGCCTTCAACATTCTTTTTTCACTTTACCAATGCAGTTTTCAATGTTCTTAAAACTTCTTCCTCATAAGTCTTTGACTGCTCTGTGTCAGGCAAGAAAACCTACCAATATGACCCCTTGACAAGTCCTGAAAGAGTGACTATAATCTGAGCTCACTGTCCGGCCTTGAATTGAACTGGCCCAGCAGATCCCTTTGAAGCCAAGGGTTTGAGTGGACCTTGATCTCTGGTATCCACTCAGCCAAAAGCTTGCTAAAGACAAGATCTTCACTTAACACTGACAATGCAGAACCATGTGGGATCCCAATAGTTCAACAGTTTGAGCATCAATGGCATTTTACAATTCTAAGGTCTCCTTCCCACCAGTTTCTAAACATGTCACAGAAATTTTTTTTCCATTTGTCCAGGTTGACAATCTTCCCTCTCTTGGTTCATATTTGAGATCTTCCTGACCTACATAGGAAGGCTTACTCTATCTGAAAACTGTTCTGTATGTGGTAACATTCCTACAACCTTGAAGCTTCAATATGGAAAGACAGTCACTTAAGTTATGTTAAAATTTCGTATTAGCCCAGAACTCATGGCACACATCAATCATATCCTAGTATGTTTTTTTTTTCAAGGCTCCTTAAAGGAGCCCTGCTGGCCTAATGGACTATGTGTTGGGCTGCTAACCACAAGGTCAGCAGTTTGAAACCACCAGTGGCTTCTCGGGAGACAGACAGGGCTTTCTACTCCCATAAAAAGTTATTCTTTCAGAAACTCACCAGGGCAGTTGTACCCTGCCCTACAGGATCACTAGGAGTTAGTATCGACTCAATGGCAGTGAGTTCAGTAAGTTTAGTTGAATGAGTCTAAGACAAGTGTATCACTAAGAGAACTTATCTGCAGCTATCCACTAATTGCAAAAACATGCTTAAATATGCTGTGTTTGGAACAAATCTGTGTGTATGTACTAGAACCCCAGTAGCAGTATTTTTAAAATTTCCTCTATTGTTAGCAACACACATATGAAAATGAAATTGAACTTTCGTGAAGGTAAAGTGAGTTGGAGAAAGGCATGATTTTGAATTCAGTATACAGGTGACTCCCCCACTTATTCTGAAGCTGCCACTTCACTCTCACAAGAGAAATCTCAGCAAGCAACCTGTTTTCACTAACTGAAAAACCTGAAGAGGATTTCCACTTTATGAGAAAGCGGAACTAGTGTTGTCTGTCTTACAGCGAGCTGGTCAAGAGGATGCACGCACCCCAGCAATGGGAGTGGCCATCACCTAGCACCTTCCCCAGGGATCTACTCAGCATCAAGCACCGCAGCTTTTGACTTGTGTCTGTAAACACCATTTGTGTTATTTTAAGTTTTATGTGTTATTTGGTAGGACTAGTAGGCCATTTTTGAGGTCTGAAATGCTCAAAAGCATTTCCCATACAAATGAATGGTATCTGATTTCTTTGCTGAACACACAATTTGGGCTTGCAAAAGATTCCTTACGATCGCTCTACTTTTAGCTAACAAGGGAATATGATAACTCAATTATATGGGAGTGTAACTAGACCAAATAAATATTAGAAATAAAAGTTTACTAATTCATCCCTACTTCCTTAAGAACTTGGGTATTCAAACTGGTTAAGCCATGGTAATTTGAATCTTATGGGCAAAACAGAGGACCATTATACATAGGATATACAATTAAAAATTTTTTTCTCTTCCAAGGAATGTTATTTGTGAACAGTGTACCTCTTTCTCCCCCAACCCCCTTACATTTTATTTATTTTCTTGTTGTTGAGATCAGCACATTGCTATACTTATTTCTTCAGTTGTCTGTAGGGTGTAATCACGGTACTAGTTTCTTACAGTAAAAAGTTCTTCCAAAAATAATTTTCATAGAGTAAATTTTAAGATAGTTTAACACATATGCAGCTGTTACTTTCAAATTATGTTAATTACTTGAAACAGTTACTTTTGACTGTCATATGTAGGTGTTAAAAATAGTGCCAGCTAAGTTCTAAGTTATGCAGAGTATTAAAAAAAATTAGGCTATATTTCTGGAGTAATGCCATCTGCCTGGAACTGTTAATAGCTTCGGGAACTAAAATGAACAACTACTTTGAAACACCCCTTTACCATGGTCTCCAAAGAAGATACAGACATAAATGAAAAAGGAAATCAAGAATTATTATGTCCAGGGGGTATACCAACATATGAAAAAAGCTTTAGAGTTATGCGAGCCACAGCACTAATATCCTGGGGGAAGAAGTGGTGGTTCAGTGATAGCATTCTCGAGACCTGGGACAAAGACTGGGCTTTCTACTCTTGCTACAGTCTTGGAACTCACAGGGGCAGTTCTACCTCAACCGATAGTTACTATGAGTGGGCCTCTACTCAGTGGCAGTGAGTTTAAGCAGGAGACCGGGGCTCGATTCTTAGCTAGTGTATCACGTATATAGCCATTTAGTGGAAATCTGCATCTTACTAAAGTGAACAGGCCTCAATAGAACCTCCATTACCCTCAGACGTGGAAGAATGGCCTGGCTAGCTACCTCTGAACAATTACCCAGCGAACCTTATGGATCACAAGGGTCCAATCTCAAGGTGTCCAGTGTCCCCTAGAGCCAGGAGCCAACTCATACAGCTAATATAGCAAGAAACTTTAATGTTCTTAGCAGCATTACCAATAGAACTTTCTGCAATGATAGATGTTTTGTATCTGCACTGTCCAGTCTCTGGAGAAGAACATTATGCTTGGTAATGTGGAAGGGCAACAAAATAGAGGAAGCCCCTTGATGAGATGGATTGGCACAGTGGCTGCAGTGAGCTCAAGCACAACAATTTTGAGGGTGGCATAAGACCCTGGCAGTGTTTCGATGGCACTTAACAACTGCAAGCCACCTGTGGCTAACGAGCACTTGAAATGTGGCTTGAAAAACAAATATTCAAAACAAAAAAAAAAAAAAAGGAAAGAAAAGAAAACAAAAATTTCCCTTAATTTTAATTAATTTAAATAGCCACAGGAAGTGAATGACGACAGTTTTGGATAGTGTCGCTCTAGGACATCCATGGTTTCCACCAGGTTCTTACCAGACACAAATGGGCGACTAGACTACAGGAGTCCCTAACTGATTAACACGCTTGGCTAACCAAAAAGTTGGAGGTTCAGGTCCAGCTGGAGGGACCAAAACCCTGTGGAGCACAGTGAGTCAAGTTGATGGCAACTAGTACTATTTCTAGAAATTATGGGCCTAATAATTTTATTTTACCTTAAAAGTTGAAAAAAATAAGATCTTCATAAAAATCCTTACTGTCAACTTAATTGGGGGATGGGGGGGAGACAATTTATACAAGAAATCAGCATGGCCTTTAAATTGGGTGCTATTATCAAGTGCTAGTAGGTCATACAGAAGGAACCCTGTGGTGTAGTGCTACAGGCTGCAATTCTCAAGACTGGCAGTTCGAAACCACCAGCTGCTCCTCACGAGAAAGACAGGGCTTTTTTTTTTTTTTAAACATTTTATTAGGGGCTCATACAACTGTTATCGCAATCCATACACATATCAATTGAGTAAAGCGCATTTGTACATCATTCTCAAAACATTTTCTCTCCACTTAAACCCCCGACATTAGGTCCTCATTTTTCCCCTCCCTCCCTGTTCCCCCCTCCCTCAAAATACCTTTATAAATTGGTATTTTGTCATATCTTGCCCTGGAAAGACAGGGCTTTTTACGCCTGTAAAGTTATAGTCTCAGAAACTCAGAGGACAATTCTCTACCGTCACTATGAGCCAGAAAAAACGCAATGACCGTGCGTTCGGTTTTGGTTTGAGTAGGTAATATCAACCATGACAGACACATGACACATAAAACAGACACAAACTACAGCAAATCATGTGCCGATAGCCATAAATCATGTACTATCCTCAGTACACCCTCAATTCATAATTCGATGTTTGTAGCACTGGGAAGACAAAGGAGGTTAAACTGACCACATCAGCAGGTTGTCACATTTCTACCTTTCCAAGTAAGGGGATTTGAAACGCTAACTAATCATGAAATACAAAGTATAAAGGCTTTTTCACTGTGTCTATACCCTAGCTTCAATGGTCAGTAATACATGGCCAAACTTGTCTCATGTATATCGTCAGTCACTTTCTCTACGTCACATTATTTTGGGGGTAAATGCTGTTACAAACGCCATGTATGGGGATTTTTTATAACCTCTAGGAAAAAGACACGGATGATTTGGAATTGTAAACCAAAGCACAGCTAGGTGATGCAGTTTAAGGAGCGAGGCAGGAGAGGGGGATCAGGGCAAAGTTAGTACAGATGGGAGAAACCTTTATTTTATTTTTTGAAAACTTTATTTTAATCTAAAGCAACAAGGAGGTAGCTAATGTAGTTTTAGAAGAGAAAGTGTTAAGGCGGGAAATCAAGCCACCTTCTGTGACATCATGAAGGTCTGGCTTCTGAAGGAGGGGGTGAGACACAAAAAGGAGGGCACCGCGGTGCGCTGCAGCTGACATACCTGTTCATACACACAAACACCTTTCACACATGCTAAAAAGGGAATGCTCCACCCATTTCAGGAGAGACTATTCACTGGCACATATTTAACTGTGATTTCCTTTTTTTCAGTGCTTTAGGACTTGCAGACTTATTAGTTCTAGAGCACACTAACAAATCTGTTCTGTCTTGTGAAATAAACTGCTACAAATAATAATACTCTGAACACAGTTTTCCATTTTTAAAAGTCACTTAAATTTATGTCGAAAAGAAGTAATCTTACTTTTTTGGTTTTCTGGAAGTAGAGTTCGGGAAAAGCATGGAACCAGTACGCCAACTGTGATATGTAGAAAAACTTCATTTGAAATCTGCACAACGTAAGAATGGGAAAAACATCTTTTAAAGCATAATATTAAAATCAACCAAGTAAAAAAACAACAACACTGGAAATCAGGATATACTGCATAGCTACCCTGGCGCTACAACTTCAGGTCACACCGTACATATCGTGAAACAACTTGGCCACGGCTGCTTTCCTTTTTCTCCCTCGGGTGTCCCCCACTGAAGATGCTCTTGGCTTAAACAAAAGAAGCCATGCCATGGCTGATGTTAACATGTAAACTGTGTGGGAAGAGCCAGACTCCTTTCTATTGGTTAATTAATTCATACTGATTAGTATGTCATGTTAGCTACTGAAAGCATAAAGAACAAGAGAGAGAAAAATCAAATCCCAGATCTACTGGGCTCCGAAGAGAAGCGAAGGTTCATAAAGCACCAGCACCTGAAACAACCCATTTCAAATGCCCCCCAGACTCTAGCTTTGGAGAACTGTGGCCACTTTGCCTGGTCGGAACACATGGAAATAAACAGAGGGGAGTCAACAACAGGAATAGGCTTAGAAGTGTTCCCTGGGAGACACAAGGGGGCTTCAAAAGGCTCCTGGAAAAATTCCATTTTTCAAAAACCTTTTGAAGCTGACTTATGTATCTTAATCAGCCTAAAAGCTAGAGAAGACCTATGTCTTTTTTACATTATAATTTTTTAGCCCTTCTGCTTTCTATCTTCCTCTTGCCATCTTCCAAAAGATTTACAAAGGCAGTCTGAAGCAATTTCAGGAGGAAAAATCCAGCTCTATATATATATGTTTATAACTGCATCTCATAAACATTCAATAAATTCATAGAATATTTTGAAAATCAGGGAACAGAGTGGACACTATTATTAGACATAAAGCAAAGATATGCATGGTCATGCTATTTCTTTCATTCCTTCATATCCATTTGCACAAGTGATTTAACAAGTGCTTGCTGAGTGATAATCATCTATAAACTTCCTGGCACGAAATAGATAAAATAAAACAAGATAGTTCCTACATCTGTCAAGGCATATTATAGTCATAGGATAGTGAAAATAATACACAGATACTACACACAATATTATCATCTAAAATAATGGGTTCAGGAATGTAGGAGACATAGACTAAACTAGCAACAAACAGGAACATAAGAGGTATAGTAGAGCAATGAGCAACTGAATGAGTGCTTATGCATCCACTGAGGTCCTTGCAGCCATTTACCAACACACTGGTAAAGTGTTGAAAAGATCATATACATGAAAAAAAAGTACAGACATATTTTTCTTATGGTAATGGAATTGCTAAAGATACACTTTCACCTATTTAGTGAATTTGCTGAAGGTCCTAAATAGATCTAGGATCTGCTAAGAATGACTTACGTCATCCGGTTATGGGGATATGCCCTCCACAAGATAGTTGGGTCTGTGATGTAGTTTTCCTAAGTGGGTGAGGGAAAAAAAGATAAAGATTAGTCAATGAGCATAATGCAAGCTTCTAGAAAAACCCAACAATATTTTCACTTATTGCATTTACAGATTCCAAAAGAGTCCAGAGTCACTTTTCATAGTTTTTAGCTTATATAGTTTACTTTAGCTTAATGAAATTCAATGTGATAGATATAAAGTCAAATAGGACATAACCTTCAAAAAACCTTTTAATCTCAGAGAGTACAAAATATGTGTATGCAAACAGGTTAAGACCATCAAAAATACACAACAAAGGTTTAACAGCTATGAGGTAACCTAATTTTGTCTCTAGTAATGAGAGAGCCAGGGCTTTAAGGAAGATGCAGCCCCTGGTACAAGGAGGACTGGGATGCTGCCACCCACACTTTACAGAATTATGTCCACAGGCTAACCATAATCAGATGAGGTTACTTACCCAGTGGAAATTAATGCCCGTGTTTAATTTTTGTACCCTGGAAAATTCCATTTAGAATTTGCTTAAGCACACTGAAAGCAAGATACCATGTAATACCTTGAGAGATGACAACTTAAGCATATGCCATACTTACAGAGATCAGAATGAATGTGCCCCAAATACAAGAAAAAAGGTAGAAGGCACTAAGCTGACCAGATTCATTAAACTTGCTGTGTTTCGTTTTGGAGAAGTGCATTCGCCTGTTAATTTTCTAAAAGTAAAAACAACCATTAGTGCTTAAGAACATTATTTTAAAATATATTTGACTACTAGAGTATAAAAGCTAACAATTTACAAAATATGAATTTCTAAGGTTGTATACTCACATCCAACACATACTCCTGAATTATGGCATGAATGATTACTGCCACTAGCATGTAGAAGAAAACTGTAGCCAAGTCTTTGATACCATAGTAATAATGGGTCGTTGACTCTGTAGCTTGTTCTTCTGAAGACCAAAAAGGACACACACATGCAAAAAAAATGCACTTAAGATTATAAAAAATAGTACTAAGTACAACATAGTTAAAAACCCAACAAAATTAGACATACTTAAGCTCCACATGGGTAGGTGGGAGGGGGCAGGGGAGGCAGCAATGGACAATGAGGAGGCTAGGCAGAAACCTAAAGCTTCCAATATTACTTCCAAACACTTGACACAAGTCAGTTATAGTCACCAAAGACCATAAAACTTTTTTTTTAAAGGGAAGGAGAGGCCACACCCAGATAGTCAGCAAGGCAATAAAATTGGAAACCTTCTACCTTAAAAAAGTTTTTTTCATTTATTTTTTAAATTTAAACATCTACACAAGACACACCCCAATCGACCAGTTGGTCTATGTGTACCACTTAAGTGATTCTGAGTGGGTTCTCTGAGTGACGCATCCATTCCTATCTTCCTTTTCTGAGAAGTTCCTCTTCCCTTAACAGAAATTCAATGTAAGATTCCTATCTAATCTTCCAAAGACATTGTTCTCAAAGAGCAAAATGCTCAAGGCATGCCTTTGCTAAACTACTGTTTGGTTTAAGATTTAAGGGGTTATTTTTAGCTTAAGGTCTAAAGATGATCTCAGGGCAAGTTTCAGGCTCCCAGGAAGTATGGAGTCCATGAGAATATGACATATTGTTCTATATTCTCGCTGCCCAATGCTGGGGCCACCCCGCCTTTGATCAGGATTCTTCTAAGGAATCTGGGGTCATGAAGGGAGCTGGGCACCATCTCAGCTCTTCTGGTCTGATGGCAAAGGAAACAGCTGCTGACGGAGGCAATTGACCTCGCATTTCATATCTTCCTCTATCTCTATTCCCGCCTCCTTTTCTCCCTTTTGTTGCTCCAGAGACCAATTGTGCCCGAGTGGCTACTCTTAAGCTCTTACGCTCCTACACTACACAATGAACTGGGAGGTAAAACAGAAGCACTAAACAGGTTATTAAGCCAATTAATTGACATGTACCCATGAAACCGTGACCCTAAGTCTCCAAACCAAGGAACCAAATCTCACAAGGAGTTTGGTTGCACAGCAGTAGTCTTGGCAACTGGTTTGTTTTCATGTGTGTCATTTTAAATATATCTATCACACACCTTTTGCCACTTCAATATTTTTACAGGCGTACAACTTATTGACAAGAATCAGCCGTGCAGACCTACTTTAATCAATGTGATATTTCCATCACTACCAACGCTCCCTATCCCCCGTCCCAATCTCTGACGAGGAATAAACTTTGGTTTCTACACATTTGCTTTTTCTCATCTTTTGATGCAAGAAGCTCGTCCAAAGAGCAGCTCTGAAGGCATGATGGTTACACAATGGGCTGCTGACCACAGGCCAGCGGTTCAACACAATCAGTTCTTCTGCAGGAGAAAGCCTTTCTACTCCTGTACAGATTTGTAGTCTCGGAAAGGCACAGAGGCAGTCTGTCCTGTTGTACAGGGTTCCTGTGCTGAAGTCAGAATCGCCTCGATGGCAGTGAGTCTGGTTTTCTTTTTCCGCTTGTATTCTATGTGTCCTCTTGTGGTTGCTTTATTTCATTCAGTATAATGCCTTCCAGCTCCACGTGTATTATATAATGTATCAACATTTCTTTTCTCCCGCTGGCTACGTAGTTTCCCACTGTATAGATGTACCACATTGGGTTTATCCATTCATCTGTTGATGGGCCATTGGTAACAATGTTACAGAATCCATTAGCATACCAGTTTCTTTTGGAGTCTCTGCTTTCAAGTATCTGGGTACATATACGGAGGAGTGCAATTGGTATGGTAGCTCGATTTTTAATTTTTTGAGGAAGTACCACAGTTTTCCACAAACAGCCATACCTCTTTTACATCCCCACCAGAAATGAGTAAGAATTCCAATTTCCCCACATCCTTTCTACACGACATCGACTTGATCCTGACTCATAGCACACACAGAAGAGCACCGTCCCACGGGTTTCCACGGCTGTCATCTTACAGGAGCCGAGTTCCACAACTTTCCCCCAAAACCTTCAATCACTGCACCCCCGGGCTCCATATGCCGCTCAGTGGAAGTAGAATGGGTTGATTTGCCTTGTGTCTCTCTGATGGCTAATGATGCTGAGCAGATTGTTAATGTATTTGGTGGCCATTTGAATGTGCTCTTGGGTGAAATGTTTATTCAAGTCCTTTGTCCATTTTATGAGAAACTTTCTACTTTCTATCTCTACTTTCAAACTAGAAACTACACTTTTTAGAAAATTCTAATGGAAAAGTGATTTCACTCATGTTGAGTTAATTTCGATCTATAAGCAGAATTAGTAGAAACTACCATTTACAGTGTCTTTTAATCACTTACAATCACTGTAATTTTTTACAACAAATTTTAATCAAATTGGTATCATTTGTTCTCAAGCTCATGTATTTGGGTATGATTTGGATAAAAGTTTTGTTCTTTTCTAGATTATTTAAATTACAAACAATTTTGTAGTTTTGTGCAGCATGATGACTAAGTCACTGAACCAAATATTTACAAAACTATATAATTGAAAAAAACCCCAATTCAACACTGTACATTGGGTTTACATTCTATAGAGAGCACCTCAGGACAAGTTTACTGCATGAATGCACTAATATTTTATTAACCAAATACCCTCCTGTCATCCATTCTTATTATATTTTGTATTTAATAATAATCAACTTTCAATAAAACTGACTTTCACGTAGCACAACTTAGAAATGAAATGTTCTGAAATATGGCCAAGAAAGAATTTGGGTGTTGACTACTGGAAAATCTGAAAACTTACTGACATCTTCTCTAATCAAAATCACTTCTAGACGTTGGACACAAAAACAGAAAATAAAAGAAGCTTAGAATAATTATTAAAGGGCAAAAATATTAACTCCTAACTTAGAAACACTAAACCTGATCATGTGCCTTTAGAATTTCTGATTGAACAAAGGCATTTGAATACAACTTAAAAAAAATCTATTCTTAGAATTTACTGATGAAAAGATTGTGAGGGCAAAGGTACCACAAAAAAGCTCATTGATGAAATTTCAAGCTCATTCACGATAAATTAGCATTATACTCCTTTAAAATTCACTGTTTGAATATAAGGTATCAGGTGAAGACACCACAAATGTGAGCTCTTACAGTCTAACATCATCCAAACAGTCCTGGAAAAGGCCTCCAAAGATTAATGCAGAGCTCAATATTCATGAGCATGACCATGCATTTTTAACAAAAGTTTACACACCTGAGCTCTTCTACTTAATAGAAAATTCTAAAAGGAAGCACTTACCTGTTGCAGAGACGGTAACATTATACTGAAGAGTAACAAAAATGATAGATGCTTTTGCTGTTATCTAAAAGGGAAAAAAAAAGGGGGGGGGGTTCAAATCAATATGTGGCTCTCTCCCAAGTGTAGATCAGGGGAAAAGCATTACAAAGTTCTGTCTGCAAACCTAACCCAGGGAACCCTCGCTTTGTGGTAGGAATCATGGGAATTCCTGGTCAGCAACGAGTGGATAACAGCTCACCGTGGCATTCTGCCGATTCAAGGAGGTTGTGTAATTCACCCTACTTTAAGATTGCTACAGAGATAGGCTGGAGCTCCAGTAAACAGTCATTTGACACATCAAGATTCTCACTCTAAATCTGTGCAGTGAACACCAACAATTTAAATGCAAATTGATAAAATAAAAGGAAGCACAGTTAACATGACAGGGAGTGTGTATGTAAGTGCAGTCGCCCACACTTGGCAAAGTTAAGTGCTCAATTACTGTTTAACCAATTATGGGTAGAAATGGACAGAACAGGAAAATAAAATGTTTATTTGATATTTGTAGGCACCAGTCGCCTCTGTAGTAGACAAGAAAGAATAACAAAGATGAATGATATAATTCTAAATAACTCAGTACGAAGAAAAACAAGTTAAAACAAAAAACAATTCCTTATTTATCAACATGACTAGGTTCCTAAGACAAGGTTGTTGCATAAAACATCGGTTATGAGAAAATGGAGGATAACCACCTCAGATTACAAAATGGAAGATGGCTACATCATTACATAACTGCCAAATCACATCATTAATAACTGCCGAGCCATGGAGAATCATGGCCCACTCAAGTTGACACATACCCGGAACCACTGCATGCAGTGTTACTATCACATTGGTATTTACTATGGCCAGACACCTAGCATTCATTAATGGGCACGATAGTCAAGTAACATTTTTTTACTATTGCTGTGAAAGTACAACATTGGATAATGAGTAGTAGTTGTACAATACAGCACTGTCAAAATCAATTGTTTAGGAAAAGCTGGGGTTGTGTCTTGTTAAAAAGCTCTCTGAGGAAGGAAATGAGAAAGAAGGAACAGAGGATGTATGGGAAAGAGAAACAGAAAATAAAAGGTCACACAGCAGTAAATACTAGGCTAGGCATAAAGCACATATTGTGACGTGGTAAAGGAGCCTAGAAACATTATAAAGTGCTAAAAAGAAACTTGTTTGTTAACTAAGTAGCTTAAATTTTATTCTAGCCCCACTAGAGAATCCTGAGGAGGGTCAAGTTCATAAGGAGGGTCAAGTTCTTTTTTTTAATCATCTTTTACCATTCCTCCCCCATCTGCTTAAAATCCTACACTGGACTCCCAATTTTCTTAAGACAAAGAACAAAAGCCCCATGGTCAGACTGCTCCCTCTCCTTCTCCAGCCTCACGTCAGATCATTCCCTCCTGCTTCTTTGTCCTGTGCAAGTCCTCGCACCACACAGTCTGTGCCTGCGCTGTTCTACCTAAAACACTGTTGCAAAATCTCCCTCCTTCAGATCTTGGCTCAATCACAACTATTTAAGAAGGCCTACTATGTCTTCCTAAAATACCGCGATTCTCTCATATACACTGTGCATAACCTACACAGGAAATGAACATGTGAAGGAGATGCACAAGTGTACGAAGAACTGTGTATCAAGTGCACTGTTTGCTTAAAAACACGGTAGGTCATTTCCTTTCACGACTCAGAGAACAGTGTGTGTGCCCCTTTTCTTCAAAACGCATGCTCCTTTAGGCGTCACTCAGTCAGTTCTGACTCAAAGCAATCCTACGCACAGCAGAACGAAACACTGCCTCGTCTCGAGCCATGCTCACACCCGTTACTACGTCTGAGTCCGTTGTCATGGTCACTGTGCCAATCCATCTTGTTTGCGGGTCTTCCTTTCCGCCCATGACCCTCTATCAAAGCACACACTCTCGTGTAACTCTGTCAATAATTCCCCTCTTGCCCAGGAGAAGTTAAGTGCTGGGACCATGCCTGCTTCTGTTCATCACTGCATGCTCAGAATATGCATGGTTTCTGGCACTGTATCAGGTGACCAACCAGTATTACTGAATAAATACCAGATCAAATCTAAGTTGGCGTACGCAGGCGTGCCAAGTACAAAACTCCTACAATCACTTTTGAGAAACAAAAAGATTAGGCACAGAAGCAAGCAAGCACAAATGGGGAGAAGACTGATACCACATGGAGTCTGCCAGGAAATGACGACTGAAGAACCCACGACAGGCAGGATACTCCCACTGAGCAGACAGAGCTCTCCCCTAGAGCCAATGCCCTGAATTTGGACTTGCTACCTCTCCAAGCTGCGACAAAATACATCTCTGTTGGTTAGAGCCACCCGTGGTGTTCCCACGATAGCAACACTTGAGAAACTAAGACATCCACGCTCAGAGTGAAAATTCAAGTTTATAACTGAGGCGTAACATGTACATGACTGCTTTCCAAAGGGGAGAGAAAAAGGTGAGGAATACGGATCCACTGTTGGAAAACCTCCCTCTTAGATCTGTCTGGGTTCAATCACGACTACTCAAGGACGCGTTAAGACAAGCTACCACGAAACTCAAATGAATGAGCCAGTTCTGCACTGCACAGAACACTATAGCTCTCACTTCGTTCATTCAGCAGCGACCAGGTGGGAGTTGGTACTCACTGTGTACTTGGTTAGAGGAAGGTGTGACTACTTCATGGGCTAGATGCCAGACAAGTGAAGACAATTTTTGAATATCTAATTCTATTCCCCTACCAGCTAATATAAAATTAAGTTATTAACAAGAATTAAAAAACACAACACCCCCCACCCCCAAACCGTCCTAAGAGAGTCAGCATTGTAAATGCTCCTCAACCTCATGCATCAGAGCCCACACTGAGGGTTTTTAACACCTGGCAAGTCAGAAAGGAGATGTTCTTCTTGGGAGCCTCTGGCTTCTTTCTCTTCAACATCCTCACTTTCAAAACACGACCCGCTCGTCTTTATTTTATTCAACTGTGCAAATTTTTAACACAAATATGGGACTATCACAGAGCATGATTTACATCATGTGGTCTGTCATAAAACCTGATTTTAAAATTCACAATTTTCTATGTTAAGTTTCCTGGAAATTATTATATTAATACATTTCCTCAAAAGCCAGTAGTTCTTCCCCTACCTTTTTAGTATCTGTAAGGTAGTCGAGAGGTGCCAGAGACCTAATCAGTCGAATTGGAGCAAACAGGCTTTATTGGGGAGAAAAACCCAGCCTGGGCGAAGTCCCTTGGTCCAGTGGACGGGGGAGTGGCACCCCAGGCTACAGGGGTGGTGCTTATATGGCCAGGGAACATGTGAGTAAGCTGTCTTGAGTCCATATAAGGTAAAGTAGTCAGGGATTGGGAGATACAGGTATGTCTGGGTTTCTGGAATGTAAGGTGTCCTCCTGGTTCCGGGTGTATTCGAGTGCACAGCAGTGGGTTGAGAACAAAGCGGGCTTTGAGTAAAAGAAAGAAAAAAAACTTGCAAAGCTGCTGACAGGTTACATAGTCAACTCTGGTCAGCTCCACAGGTGTGTGTGGGAGATTCAAGGCCACTTGCTGTTAGTTGTTTTAACCAGCTCTGGCCAGCTCTGCACAGGCGGGGGAGATTCAAGGTCACTGGCTGCTAGAAACTGTCCTGGTATTGATCCGGCCATACATTCCCAACTCTTTGGTGATATGGGCGACAACTCTTCTGGCTACTTCCTGCGGGTACTGGGATGGCGTAGGAGGGGCTTACGGGTTGGGAATGTCTGGCTTCTGTGGGAGAGGACTGTAAGGGTGCAATAACATTTGATTAACGGCAACATGAGAATTTTTTTGCAGTGGTTGTGAAGAAAGTTCAGCAAACAGGGCACCAGAAGTAGCAGAGCACAGAAGGTTATAACAGGGGTTATTAAGGGAGCAACCCAACGGATGAATGGATTAGACCACCAACCTCCATGTAAGACGCCAGGGGCCTGGATCAGAGAACTTTTTTCCCAACTTACGAAGTTTGTTTATACTGGTTTTTACCAACCCGGATTTGTTAACATAATAGCAACACTTCTTATTCAAGTATATACACGTTTCCCCTTTATCTGCTGTTAAGAGGTCTAGGGCTTTTTGTTTTGTAAGGTTACTTGGGCTAGGGATGTTATTTGGTGCTGTAAGAGATTTAAAGATAATGCAGTGTTTTTTAATTGCTGCTTGCAATTTGGAGGACCAGCTTTGTAAAGAGCTCAGAGAGTGGGATAGGGCTTCTGCCCCCATTCCTGAGCCAACTGAGGAAGAGGTTACCGCTAACCAACCACGACAGGGAGGAACACTGCCCGTGTGTGTCTGGTGGTGCCAGGGGAGGGACTTTGCAGAGCGTTTGTTTACCTCAGGGACTGTGTACATAGTTAGCTGGGGAACCAGGGTGTCTGGCAGTCTCCACATATAATTTCTTTAGATGCTAACAGCTAGAACCTCACTCACGTTGTTTTCCTAATATGAAAAAATTCCAAGGAATAACAATAACTACCCATTTATTATCTCCTATAAGCCAAGCACTGAACGATATACAAGTCTTAGAATTCATAGAAAAATTCATAGAAAATGGAATGAAAAGACAACGGAATTTTTCCACGAAATTTTTGAAGCCCCCCCCTTGTACTAGTAAATTTACTTCTTGGAGTAACTTAATGAGTCCCATTTTACAGATACTGCCTGTACATTTAAGTTCTGAGAACTGAAATGATATGCATTAAATATGCACTAGGCCACCTAGTTTTCAAGCTACTGAACTGTAACTTGAACACAGGTGCTAACACTGCTGCTTCTTTTGGGCTAGTACTATAGTGTCTGTTTTGCTCTGTCAATGTCACCTTAAATCCTCTGACAGCTCAACATATTTATACAAAAAGCTTAACAGCTCTACTGGAAGAACATCAACTTCTCTATTATTCTGTCACAATTACTGCAATTCTATAATTATGCTAACTGTGAGTTTCAGCAGCAATTATTTCAAGTCAAAATAGCAAAACTAGTGCAGTCCATTTT